TCCAATAATCAAACATCCTACCTGTGACAGACTTAATCAGGGAAGAGTTCTCTTGGAGTATATTACATTTTATTACAAACGTGCACATTTCTGAAGCACTGTCACGTTAGACAACTTTTCTCACTGTAACAGAGAAGTAAATTCCCAAGTAAACACAGCACCGACCGAGGCTTCAAAGGGGTACAGCAGGAATTGAAAGAAAACAAAACTGTTCTATTCCTAGCCAGAGTAAATGTATGCACTCAGAGGAATCAAGATTTTATATGCAGCAGGAGTAAGTTAAAAAATCTAAGTGTTCAAATGGTCCATAACTGAAGAAAGTAATCATTTGCTTCTTCAAGCACATGAGCAATTGCATTAAACTAATCTGATTTAATTGCATTTAGTTCAGAGAGAGACTACTTATATGCTTAAACACAAACATATAATTAATTATTTCCCGAAATGAAAGACCAGTCAAGGAGAATGGATAATGCAAACAAATGTGCACGTGCATTTCAATTTTTCAAAGTATTTGATTCAGTATTCTATCTAGCAAAACATTCAAATCAACCTTGTGGTGGGAAATCTGTTCCCTGGCTGCAAAACATTCTCATAATGAAACATCCAAATTAGTTATGCACAGCATTATTTTACTGAGAGTCAATAGCCCATCATCTGGCAAAAAGCTCAGAAACAAGCCTTCGCATCTAAGTGAAAAAGCTCAGACAAGTTTGTGTTCAGCATGTTTCAGAAAGAATACAAAAAGCATAATCCTCACTGAATTCAAGTAAGAAATAGGAACTTGTAATAATTCCTTGCTCACCTTTTACCACCAAACTGCTTTTGCAGTATTAGTTTCAGGTGATAAATAAGGGACCACTCACACATACATACACTAATTATACAGTGACCAAATATCTCCTGCCAGACTGTCACAAGAGTCTGTTATGCATTAACTAGCATCTCTGATCATACACTGTTTAATTAATTGAATTAATTTTTCCTTAGATTATTGTGTTTTTTTTTTTAATTATGTATCATGAACTTCACTCCTGAATGCTTTATCAATTTATATCTGATGTTGGAGGTATTATTATTTTCTTTTAAAAAACAACAAATAGAAACATGTCCACATCTGCCTGTATCTCCAAAAATGGGAAAATGGTCAGCAAAATTCTGTCTGACATCTTCATTATGACAAGCAACATCAGAACCTGAAAAGGTCAATCAGCCCATAATGTACAGCACTTTATTCTGGGTGGAATGTGAATTAGGAGGATTATGAATTAATTAATTTTATGTAGAAATGAAGAAATGTTGTTAACGCTCTCCTTGTCTGCTTTGGCTTTTAAACATGAAGTTTGATGGAAGCTGCCTTCAGAGCTGAGCAGTGGCTCATCCTGATGCAAATTCTGTGGTTATATTTGAGTCAGCATTTAAGAGGACCTGTTGCCACACAGAAAATCAGGAACAATTACTCTAAATAATTACATCAGCTTATTGATGTCTGTTGCCAAGAGAAACAAGTCCTTGTTCATAATATCCAATCGCGTTGCCAAGTAACTTAATCTTTAGGGAAACTAAATACACTGCAGCACTAACACTTCTCTTACAATAAATGTCTTCTCTAATTGATATCATCGTGGCTCATAACTCCATCTTTGTTCTGACAGTTTCCTAAAGTAACCTCTGCTCAGTCATGGCCTGACGACCTCGAGGTGTGAGTTATGACTCTGGGCTTGTTGGTGCTCAGGGAGTATCTGTGTTGGAGCCAGGCAACCTGGGCTTCCTTCAGATTCACTGAGGAGAAAGCAGAACCTTTAAGGCACGCGTGTCAAGCAGACGAGGACTGCAGGGCAGAAACACACATTTGTCCAGGGATCAGGGAGTGCACGTGAGCAGAGGTTTCTGCTTTGAGGTGCTCTCTCACCTGGGCTGCCAGCTAAAGTGGAAGCCAGAGCTCTTCAATGTGATAGAGCTCTTCCTTCAGCCAGAAAGCCTGGAGAGAGACAAGCCTGATGATGGGCCAGCTCTGTAAACATGCAGGCTGAGGTTTTCAAACCTGAATGCCTGCAACTGCTGTTTGCTTGAACTCAGCAGCAGCTGTAAGGGTGAGGTCTGTTAGGTGCTTGCAGCAGATGTAAATATTGGCCTGAGTTACCAAGGAGAGACAGCCAGCACCTCTCTTAACACTCCTATCACAGCACTTCAGATGCTCCTTAGCCAGTTTTGCAACGCCTTTTGGTTCATTACCACTTGTAACCTTAAAGCCCCCACTGTATCATCTAAATCGTTGCAGACAGAAACTTAATGTTTCTTGTTGCGCTTTCCATATAAATTTCATTCTAGCTTGAAAAAAATGCATTGAAATCTCTCTTTCCCTTTCAAGTTTATTGGATTGAGCAGTTCTCATTTTCTTTATTTTGTCTTCTGCTTTACAAAACAGTGAATGCAGCCCCAAAATCCCCCTTCCTTCCTATGAAACACTTTGCTACAGCAAAGAACTAAGACACCGTGACAAAGTACATTCCTGTCTCACCAAAATCATGTTATGCCATATTAATTTAGATGTTTCCAAGAAAAGCTTGATAAATTCTTTCTAACATATTCCATTTTCCCCCATAGCTAATGTCAAATGAATAGCCCTATCCAGATGGGAGCCTGACAGGCCCTTTGTTTAAGGCTTGTGATGCACAGTGCAGTTTGTGATCTCCATGGATTTCTCCCTAAGCCAATTGCACTTGTTGATTCAAAAACCACCTTGTGGTTCTTGCTGACAGCAACTTGACAGGAACTGCAGGGTTATTGCGTTTTTCTGTTATCTCTGTGCTCTCTGTCACTGATTCATTTTGCTGTGCTTATCCACTCTCATTTGTTAACAGTCTCTAATCAACATCTATGATTCTTCAGTGGTTTCAGGCATTTTCATTTCACTGCAAAAAAAATCTCCCAACCAGCTGTCAGAACGGAGCCCACTCTTGTTTTGTTCTCTTCCTTTTTGGAAGACAGTACTGTGGGCAGAATGATTTCACACCAGACACAAACTCCTCTCACCTGTATAAGGAGTACTGATGACAAGAAAATAAATCTAGTGCTACAAAGACTTTCTTTTTCTTTTCTTTTTTTCCAGCAGATACAGCAGTTACTTTTTCCATGGCATCAGCTGTACAAGAAATTCTAATTCGGGCTCCCTCACTGCTATGACGAATCAGGTTGTTAACAATCTCTAAGATCTGATCTGTACAGCTATTTATGCTGTTCTCCTTTCAAGTTTCTGAGGACCCATTTCTGTAATGGTATCTACAGAACAAGAGCTATTCTGTTCTGTCTACCTTTCAATATATCTTATTTAATCAATTTATTTTTATGAAGAAAAGCTTATTCATGATTGTTGTCACAGACACCTCGTTAATTATTAGATCAGATCCTAGAACTGTACTTTCAAAATACTTGGCACAAAGAGCATCAGCTTAAGGCGCACAGACACTTCACATTTTCAGTGCAGAGCTCTACCATTCACGATCTCTAGCTGTTAATATTTAAGCTAGCAATCTGTAAATGCATTTCGTCTTATTTCTCGAACAACTATCCTTGAACATTTTTCTTATTTATCCATACATAGCTTTATATAAATACATATAGAGAGAGGGACAGAAAGAGAGAGAGAGTGGTGCACAGGGTACAGTGTGTATTGAATCGGCTCTTCATAACACAAGCAAGGAAACACCTAAGTGCACAGAGCCGTCTGTGTAGCTCCTGTTTGTGGATCTTCTCTTGTTTTCGTAATTCTGACAATGGATTCAAATTGTCATTGACAATACACAGTTATTTGCTTCCCAAAGTTCTGTATTTCCTTTGTATTTCTGAAGGTCACAGAGATTCATCCAAATCTGAAAGTTATTTTAATTCCCAGTCTTTTCATTTTACTGCAATGTAATTATCGTATAGATTTTTGTGTAGACTTATTTACTGTTTTTCTTCTCCTGTGGGTGAGTGTACAATAAGTAAACTAACTTCTATCAGGTATCTGTCACCAATATCGTAAACTTAATGGCATTTTAAAAACTACATAAGTAACTAGAGCATAAAAATGATTCCTTATGACACCAATTCAGATCAGTGGCGCCGCACCTTATCACACAATAGCCTGTGACTCAGAAACATTAAGCACAAACCATCAACACATCCTTCCTCTACCCTATAAGCTATAAACTGCTTGAGATATATACAGTGTATTTTGTATTTGGACTAAAATGTCTTTAGGAGGTAAAACACAAAATGTAACATTCAGCATCTTACTTTAAATTCAATATATTAAGTTGTCCTCTTACTTAGCCACGTATAATCCCACAGACTTTAGACATCAGAATTTATCCTTACATACTCAGATGCAGCAATGCATCTACCTTGAATTTCGCCTCTAGCCTCAATAGCACAGTATTTAAAAGATGATACACTCAGAGAAGTCACAATCCCTGGGGGCTCAAAGCACCTTGATATAAAGACATGGTTGAGTTTAAGAACACATTTAAATCCAGTGTAACTCTCTGTGCTTTGCAGTATCAAGAGAGTATTAAAAATAAGCATATGCCTCAATATTTTGCTAAACTGGGGCTAGAAACAAGTTTATCCTTTGAAAGAATGGAATGGTTGCAATACCCAAGTACAGATTAATCATACTTTGTGAGATTTATCTTTAAAAATAGCTGTAAGAGGAAAATCTCCATTAACAAAAAAGGAAAATAATGAATCAGCAAATGCTGGAGACTGTAATAAGCAGAAAAACAGCTTAGCTCATGCCAAACTAAAGGCTTCATCCCATGCTGTATTTGGCTTTCATAAAATATAGGTTAATTGGCTGCATTCAAGCAAATAATATCCTGCCTTTATCATTATTTGCTTTTCATTAAAAAGGAATGGTATCAGTGTCCTAGGAGAAGAACATTGTACATGTCCCTAGGCTGTGACATGGCAGATTACTAACTTGTTACAGCAGAATTCAAATATGAGAAACTTACTTGAAGGCATTGGCATCCCCGTGGACCTTATAGTTATCCGCACTGATTCTTGAGATAACTCTTGTAACAGCAATGAGAATGCCAATATTGACCTGAAGAAGAAGAAACAAAACTTGATCAGGAAATTCAGAACTGACTGTGTCAGAGGTACAGAGTGCCCTAAGAATGTACCGTGCACATGCAACAGAAAATAGGAGCTTTACCTGCTGCTTTTATTTGGTGAAAGAGAGAGGTTTCCAGCTTTGGACTGGTATAGTTTGACGTTTGTCAATGGATTTCCCTCTCCCCAATGTGGGTACTTGTGGCAGCTTGTGGTTTTTTTTCTTTCTTCAGAAACAGCTTTCTTCTTTCAGATGAGGCCACACTGATTCACAACTAAAGTGTTTGGGATCCTTACTCTACAATTAAATACTCCGATAACGTACTGCCAGGTGACAAATTAGACCAGAACTTCAGTGAACAGGAGTCTGTCTGTGTCTGTGTGCTCTTTAGTTTTGTCCTTTCATATGCACAGGCTTCAGAAAATGCCTTTCTCACTGGACTTCACAACGTATAATTCTTGTTTCTTACCAAAGTCTGCTTGCAGCTTAAGCATGAGATTATTTTAAACGAGAAATGAGAAAAATATGTTAAGCCTGAACTCTGCTCTTCAAAAACCCTGCATGTTTTGATGTCAGGGATGAAAAGAATTCCCACCAGAAACCTAGGAATTCGTGAAACGCCTAACACTGAAAAGGTGCAACAAAGGGAAGTTTGCCCTGGAGTCACAGGTGAAGAAGGAAAGAAATCTTCATCATTTTAAGGAGATGTGGCAAAGACTGCCTTGTTTTGCAGAGACCTTAGGTCTAAAGGAAAAAGAAAAGGAGAGAGAGACTGTGAAGGTGAAAGACACGTCCCCTCTTTCTGTCCAAAGTTAGACATCAGCTACAAAGCTGATATTTAGCATCGAGAAAAAGGAAAGAACAAAGCTCTCTTAAACAAACATATAAAAAGAATTCATTATAGTACTACTGCTCAGCTAAAACTAAACCATCATAATACATTTTAAAATAAATTTTCTAATTTGGGTAGCAAGGGGGTGAGTTAAAAATGATTAAGTTTGGTGATAATTGTTTTTGTGTCATATTTCAAATTTCATGACCACTTCTTGTAGGTTTCTAAGGGCAGATTACCACCTACTGTAAAGCGTAAGGATGGATGTGGTAGTTCGTTTCTGCCATGGCTTTTTAGCCCATCCATGGAATTCCCTGTAGAACAAAACTGCTTTTCAATTACAAGTATATTCGTTGTTCAATCGGTTTTACAGAGATTAATAAGAAGTGAAATTGAATGCTCTTGTGATCATTTTCCCTATTTCCACCAAATCATATATTGAAAATATTTTTAGCATCACTTTGAGGCAGTAACAAGCATTTCTGAGAAACCCATTTATATGCTAAATATGCGTGTTGACTGAAGCAGCAAATGATGAATATGAACAAGTTGCACTTTCTCTTCTTTCTCTCCTCTTCCAAACTCTCCAGTTTTCTGCTTCATGTCCACCAAGCAATGCTCTGCTTCTCTTCATGGCAGTTTCACAGGAATTCTGTATCCTTTACTTCTTCCCAGGCAAATTATCTCTCACCAGCCCTGTTTGTTCTTTTATCCCAAGTATCAGTCTCCTCATCTGACACTTCCTTGCAGATTTCTCATTGACAGCTCAAGTTCAACTGCTGTGTGAACCCTTTTTCCCGTGACTGCAAACAGCGCTCCTGCCAAGCTCACTCGCACTTAACCCCAGCCCTTACTTCCATTCCTAATTCTTGTTGGACAAATTGTACTCGATTTTACCTTCTGCACAGCAGTTTTTAAAATATGCAGGTTGTGCATAAGTATTTAAAAAAACCTGAAAAAATAAATTCCAGTGAAGCCAAGATGAAAGGATGAAACTTCATTCCTTAAATTCTGAATTTCCTACATCTTACCAAAGTCAACAAGAGCTACAAGCAGCAACGAAGGGATACTCAGATTCTTGCAGACTTTCACTCAAACTGGACAGGAACCTCAAGAAGTGGTTATCAAAACACCACAAGCAAGATGGTCTCCGTGGGGACAGAAACTAGATGGTTTGCTACAGCACAAACAGCTTAGCATTTCCAGATTAGTTTTAATTTCTTATGTAAAAATAAATGAAAATGGAAATGAATTTCCTTTACATTTTGGCTTATATAAAGTTTAAATTCGAGATCTCGAGCTCCTCCTCTTGTGCAGTCAGTGCAGTCATATCCCTGCCAGGGTGCTTTCGTTAATTATTTACAAGATGTGAAGGAAGCCCTGTGATCTGGCTGCTGATAAAAATAAGGTACTTGTGAAATTAACAACCAACCCTTATACTCAAGTCCCAAAGTTCTATGTTTAAATTTCCTAAACCACTTGAAAATTTCTGTTTAGATATTTTGAGAAATTAAAGTAATCTCGCTCAGTCTAAATAAACAGGGTAACTATGAATGTCTTCTTTTGTTAATGTTTCGGTAAGCAAAGCATGGAGGTATTTCCACTGTCTTTAAATGAGAAACCAAAATCAAAATACAGTCACTGAATTGTTCCTCCCAGGGATTTTTTTGGCATTTGAAATAAATGCTTAACAACTTTAATAGCAGAATGATCAGTCGAGGAAGCACTCCTTATGTTTTAGCATATATCAGAATGTTCAAAGTGGGAGAACAAACATTTAGATAAGAAAACTGTATTTAAGCTCCTCTTTCTTACTTTTCTGAAAGGCCAGACTTCCTGTCAGTTGCAGTTATTTTGCCTTAAAAGAACACAGGAACATGGAACTGACTACATTCTACTTTTCAAGCACAGCTAATAACAACAGCACGTTTCCTAACTCACAGGACTCCTTTCAAGGCAGCTGGTCTGACCTCAGGAACTCACAACTCTGTGAAATCAGCAGGAGCTGCCACTTCCCATTGTGGCAGCTCCATCCAGAACCCACCAGAGCCCATGGAAAGATCCCAGGGGCATCAGGGAGCTGTGGCTCACTCTGGTGACAACCTGACTAACCTCACCTGACTGAACATTGTCAGATCAGCAGAGAGTTAAATCAGTAAAAAGAACTCTTTCAATGTGAATATTTCTTGCCAACACGTCTTTGGGTCAGATTTTTGGACACGGAAAAACACAAAGTGCATGAGCCAAACTACCTGCAGTTCTAACACCTGATGCCTTTTCTCAGCTGTGCCAGTAGGATTTCTTGAGCTTCTCACTGGAAGAGCAGCACGAATGCAGCAAACAATGCGGTGAGATGACAGAAGTGATGAAATGTACTTCTGTACTTCTTCTCACTTTTTTTTCAGGGCTTTCACTCAGACTCCTTCCAGGTCTCATGAGATTTTTGTTGTTTCTTTACTGCAGTGCAGAAATCCCGTGAGTAAAACCTTGTGATGTGGTGTGTTACATCCTGGCCAAGAAAAGGCTTGGCAGCACAGAGGAAATAAATTTTTAAAAATGGATTAAGCATATTGCCTTAATTAAATCTATTGACCAGCTTTCCTCTGAAACCATCAACTATTTTAAGCTCCACTTCAGTTTTGGACAGTGGTACAGGGAATTATAATTGTTTCTTCAGGTCTGAGATTTAACATATTCTCTGACAGCACAAGTTACTGTAATCTCTGCCATGGCATCATTAGTAGCACTGCAAGCTGTTGGGATTGCAGCCCGTTGCCAGGTCACATCAGAAATCAGGGAGTGTGATGCATTTCCATACACAGAGATGTTCAAAACTGGGGGAATTATTTTGGAAAGCCTCATATCTCACCTGCCAATGCTGGTCCGGTGTCCCAGACCAAATACAGGCCATAGAGACTACTTCAAGTTGTTTTAGATTTCTTGTACATAACTTTCAGTTTTAATTTCTTACAGTCTGTCCCATTGTTCTAAAAATCATTTCGTGTTTTTCTGTTGGTTAACTGAGAGGAAATTTAATTTTAAAATAATGAATAAATTCAATTTTAAAATATTAAATTGACTTATAACTGAGTGCTAATAAAAAAAGAGTAGCTTTGCTGCTGTGATCTGTTTGTCTGTGCTCTGTTTCACCACAGCACTTATGTACTTGATTTCAATAACTGAAGAAATCCTACTGTTCCAGCACCTTTAAACATCTTCAGTCCAGTTCTACCACTTTTTCCCATGACAAATGGTGTCTAATAAAGGGCACAAATTGCCACTTTTAAATCAGTGGGCCCATCTGCAGAGCAGATTCATACAATACAATTCAATATACAAAAACGAGCTCAGTTCTGCACTGGTATATAAAGGAATGAATAAAGGAAGACCATGAGGCTAAGAGAGCTTACTAAACATGTATGAGCAGCAGGTGTAAAAGGAGGAAACCTCCTTCAATGTGCTCAACACTCATAAACAAGCACTAGTTGAAGCCAGCAATGGCAGTCTCAGCTTGAGATTCAAGTTTCATGGTGTACTATCTGCAGACACTGGTTACAAGACTAACATCCCTACAGCACAGAATTATGTTAGCAGTATGCTGTTGAAAATCATTTAAGTCCATAAAAATGCTGTTTATTAGAAAGACTTGTGAAAAATCACCAGGCAAGTAACTGCTTACAGAGAAAACAATAGGAGGAACTTGCAATCACAACCCAATCTTCCTCCAGCAATGGACTGTTCACTGTAGCACACCCACTGCTCTGCACACACAGATGCTTTGCGTAGAATTTCCTTAATTCTGCCATATCTATGGAAACAAACCACGGTAGCAGATGGTTGATAACAAACAAAGCCTTCTGCCAAAAGCTCTTACTGTCTTGTTCCAAGAATTCAGGTGCTTCGTCAAGTTTTGTTTGTTTGTTTTGTTGTTGTTGTTTTTTGGCTTTGAAGGCATATTTTCCCAGGCATTCAACACTGGCTGAGGTTAGGCTGGCTTACAGTGATGGTATTGAGGTGTGGTGTTGTGGCTGGGGGCAGGGGGATCTGAAGCGGATCCTTAAACCTTAAGGTGCAGGTAGAATTCCAAAGACCTACACATGGAAGGCACTATTTCTTTCCTCATATTCCTCAACTTTGGGTATGGGAATGGCTGTGAGGAGCTGCAGATTACTCCCCAGAAAAGTATGTGTGAGTATATTTTTCCCAGTCACACTCCTACCGCATCATTCTGTTTTAAGGCTCCGTGCTGTCTGTACTGACTGCAAGGCTGCAGCAGGACAAAAGCAGGCTGGGTCTGCCTATTCTCTAGCGAGTGGGAGCTGAAAGGAGCAGGACCCCTGTTTTCTTCACAGCATAATCCTTTTTCTTGGCTGAGATAAATTGTGGATGAAAGTAGTTAAAAGCAGCTTTTTGAGGCATATTTTCAGAGCTAAACACTAATTCATACAACTAGTGGCTAATTTTCTCTTTAAAGAGCAGAGGCACACATGCACGCACAAAATAGTGTTTAGCCTTGTTATTTCCCTATAGGCACTAACGTATTTTTCATCTAGTATATTCAATGCCCAGAGAGAATAATTTGTCAGCCAGCTTGCTGCTATTTTGCACAGAGAGACTGGGTTTAGACTATTTAACAAATTGCTCTACGTGAATCAACCTTGTGAGATCATTCTTTCTCTTTTGCAAAATGTTTGCGTTCCTACAAGAATATAACTTGAGCTGCACAAATATTATATATCATAAGTGATAGCCAGATAGTTAAGCCCTTACGTTCATTGGCAGGCAGCAATGAATGCAAATTATTGAAGGCTGTGCTCACTCAGGTGAGTAAGTGCTTCACTGTCTAGCATGATTTGATTAATATCATCTTTGGACAGCTGCTGGGAAAGATTTGATTTTACAGGTTGCATGTCATTTCCTCCTTTGGTGCTGAACAGTGTCCAGAAAGCAAATGCTAATGTGAGAGGAGATGTACCTTATTTTAATTGCTCTCCAGTCATCAATATCCACACATCTTTGAACATAAACTCACATACGGAAGGTCAAAGGTACTGGTGAACAAGACAATAAACACAGTTCAGAGCCGCTGAGCCAATTCTAATCCTGTGACCAACATTTCTTATTTACATGTTTATGCTTTCCCTCAGGTAAAAGAAATTCTGCACAGGGATTTTCCACTGTTGCCATTAATCATTTCATTAAAACGCTAACATGAGGCAATTTCTGCCACATTGACATAGCAACTGTTTCCAGTGTCTTTTATATATGTTTATGCAGCCTCGATTTCAGAGCCTCTATCTTGAGTGGAAGACACTGGGCTAAGAGCTGCTGGTATTGTTGTCTCCATGGCAAATGTTAGAATGTCAACACAGGTGCAGTATAAAATTACCTGTGATGGTACTGGTCAACCAAAGAGCCACCTCCTGCTCCCCAGACAGTTACAGAGAGTGCAATGGCAAACACTAGCACTCACTGCACTACTTTATCTACAGCTCTCTCTTTGGCTGGATTTCTATCAGCAGGTCCTAAGGGGTTTCTCTGTGCAGAGAAATTAGGGGATGTGTTTGTGCTTTCTGCAGAAATCCTGTCTTTCTTGGGGAAGTACAGGGCAGAGGCACTGGCTCCAATTGATGCTCATCCACACAAGTACACTGACTACACAAGTAGTCAGGATCTTATTTTACCTGACCTTCTTTCAGTGCCACAGCATGCTGGACTAGATTTGGGGTCATACCTTTCAAATCTAGCAAAGCTCTGAAGGCATCCTGGTTTCTCAGATCAGTGGATCTATTCCATGTTCATGTTCTTACTCTTGCATTATAACTTGCAGCAAAAATCGTAGACAACGTGATCAGTAACTTCAAAGGAAACAGTGCTGTAGGAGGAGAAATCTTCCACTTAATCCCTACAGACCCCTGACTCCTTAAGCAATCATCATGATTGAGCCGCAGTGCACTGTAATTTAATGTGTAGGTATAATTAAACTGCTGTAGGGCATCCATGTCCCAGTACTGCAGCCATGAATGTGCATGCTCCTCTGGAAAGATGGTGTTCATTGCAGCTGAAAGGTGTCCCGGTAGCCAACCTGTCCTAACCCTGTCTTAGTCAGCCCAACAAACTGCCACAACCAACGTCAAACTCCCAGTGCAGAAGAGCACAAAGACATTATCACTGTAAGAAGGCAGATGTGGAGGCCACTTGTTACCTTCCCCAGAGAGGTGAGAGCTCAGGCTGTTGGTTTATTGCATTTCTGCCAGCTGCTGACTGCTTGCAAGCCCTCCTGAACATCATCTGCACTGCGGGCATTCGACTTTCACCCAGAAAAGTGAGTTCTCTACAAGCAACAGCTTCAAACACCCTCCAGCTGTGTTCTGCTCTGTGGCTGACAGACATCCAGTATGAAACCAGCAGCCAGGTGTTTACCTACCAGAATTACAAACAACGCCGGTGCCACAAAAGCCCAGATTGCTCCATTCTCTAGGGAAAGCCAGCAGCTGCAGAGAAAAATAGAATGATTTTAGATGAAACACACAAACAATAAGTAATGTTCTTGATTTAAAAAGAGACTGAAAGTAAGTTTAAAAACACTGATGAATTTTAAAAGCGAGAGTATCAATAGGAAGCTCCTCTTCCCCTCAAATTCTGAGTCAAAATCTTATTTAGATTTGCATCTTCTGAAGAGTCAGGGACAGCTACCTGCCTCAGCAGGCCTTCAAATAGCATTAGGGGCAGAAAGACAGGAAGAAGGGAAAGGTTTCATTTGTTATTTGTTGTTCCTGCATCCACTTGTTCCAGTGCTGAAGGCACTGCTTTGTAGCAAGAGACAAACCTAAGCCTTTTCTGCCTTGCTCAGCTGGGGATGAGCAGGAGGTGGGAAAACACAGTCATACATTTTTCTTATGGCACAGGCGATGTAAGCCAGTTAACCACACACAACAAACAACCTGCTCCAAAACTTTCACTTACGTAATGGCAGGATTGAATCCTGTGGTATTTTCTCAGATAATTTTGCTTTACTTTTTCCAACTTAGATTGGAAGAACTTCGATTTCGGTTTTTTAAATATCAATTCTAAATCTCTGGATGCTCAACTGCCGTTTTCTTCAAAAAGCTGAACATCTTTAACTGGAGTTTATTCTCATCTTGTCAGAAATGCTTCAGCCCCGGCTTTATTCTGCACATGATGAGCAGAGTGCTCCCATTGGGTGCCCACTGTCAGAGGCAGTGACCTGCACCCATCCTCCTGTACATCCAGAATGGTGCAGAGCTGCAGCCCTGCTCACAGACCTACGAGTTTTTCTCTCCCGCAGATTTTTTATCCATCCTGGACCTGACGTGGCGATATTTTCATACTCACTTGTCACTTTCTCCATAGCTGTCTAAGGACGACGTTGCAGAAATTACACAAATCACCAGCGGGCAGCCTGTGAAAAGGCAGAGGTCATAATAGTTCCAGTAAAGCCTGCAAATTCAGCCAAACTTTGCTTGGACAACAGAGCAACTCAGAGCAATTTTAGAATTAAGTCTAACTCCTTCTGCAGCTGTTGAATGCAATATATTTTAATCAATTAATGCTGGACAAACAAAATGATTTTTCAGTAAAGCACTAATTTAATAAGTAAACTGAATTAGTGCTAATTCCAGTGAGAATCGTAGAGCTTTTTCAGCTCAGTTGGTTTTCTTAGTATGATTTCTGTCTCTCACTATTTGAACAGTGGTATTCTGTGGAGGAATAGCAAGTTTATTTTTACCAACTTCCCCCCAAGTTAGCTCACCTTGCTCAAGAATTGAGAAACAAATGAGTTTCTTACAGGGATACTGGACTAGCAGGTGAGAAGACAGAAACGGTGACCCTTAGTGGCCTAGAACACTGGCTCAACACTGAGAAACGATTATGAATAGAGCAAAGCAAATTAGGATCCCACTCAGGTGCCAGACCAAGATTTATTTTAATATAAATATGTAATAGCCCTGCAAGATTTCTGAGCTTAAAGTAGATGATGCTTCCAGATAGCTTGTGACAGCTCCAGTATGCAGCATCCTGCGCGGTGGAAGAGTGCTTGATGGGATTAGGCAGGGATTATCCAGAGGCAGATGAATATGGCCCTGCTGCCAGGGATGGCTGTGTGCTGCTGGCCTCAGCACTGTCCTGTTGTGCCACTTAACACAGCTTTCCAGGCAGGGAGCTGGAAAGGGAATGAGGGCTTTTTTGCCAGCAGTTCTGAATGTAGGGAAACCTCATCCCTTTAAATATTAAATGATTGTCTGTTAATCCCTATATGATTTAATAAAATGTGAAGGTTTAGGTTTCTGTCATCTTGTGGAATTTAATAACCGTGTCCCAGACAGAGTATTATACGTGATAGCCTGAGGTTTCAATTTTCTTTTAAATTCTTCAGGGTTTCTGCATAAGGTTTTGACAAAATTTTCTGACAAGCAATTTCTCCTTAAACTTATTGAGTGTTCTCGTAATCTTGTTAATCATCTTCACAAAATTCTGCAAAACTTTCTTATAGTTGTAGAACAGTTATTCTTTGAAATAGTATTTTTGCTCTTTAACGCCTGTGCCTGGAATCACCTTGTTGTTAGAAATGGGGAAGACGCAGCATCCGCAGGTGTTGTTTGGTCTTCCACTTTGAAATTCACTGGGAGGATTTCAACAACCTTGGAACTTGCTCCTGTTCTCCCATGCTTGTCCAAATATGGACTTACTCCTCAAAAGCATATTTGTGTAAAAACTAAGGGAAGGCAAAATTTTAGTTTACATCTGTCTGCTTAAGAAAGGAGAATCCCATATGTATTCGAACAAAACCAAGAGTATTCAACATAGCAATTGTGCACTGATGTAAGCCTGTCTGCTGAAAATTGCTCTGCCTTGGTTTTGTGGACTACCTGGACTAACAGTCCCTGGGCTATGCCTTCACATCCCTGACCACAGACACTGCTGGCACTGTTTATCTGCTGATGCTGTCTTCCTTCAACAAGCAAGCTCTGCCTACATGTCACAGAAGCCAAAATACATCTGCCTAACTCTCCTCTGCACTTTCTGTTTGCAGTTTTTTTTTCCCAAAAGCCAGATATTCAAAGGATTTACTGTGACATCAATTTTAAATGGCAGCGAAGAGGAAAATTAAATACAAAGTTCTTTTAGAAGATAATAAAACTTAGGCAGATGAAACACAGGGCAGTCATCTGCATAAAAAGACCTGTTAAGACAGGGGTAGTAAAACGTTCTGCAGCCTAAAGTGCAGTGGTTGCTTTTTCTTTGCATTGACAGGGTGTTAAATAGTAGATACCAACGTATGCAGCATCAAGGTTCTGTTACAGTGAAATGAGACCCTTTTTGCATTAAGAACCAATCTTTCAATAATTCCACAGAAGTTGAAATAAAACTATATTTAGCCTAGGAGGATAGTAAGATTTATTCTGGACTGAGGAATTCATATGGATTATATATTATACACAAAAGTAAATGTGTTTGCTTAATCTTTTGTCAGAAATAATTGTGTAAGAGCCGTGTAGCCTGCCTCCATAATAGGAAATGTTGATGTTGCGCTGGCACTGGTTACCATCCATGAGAGAATTACGGTTATGGTTCTTGACTGTATCTGATAGTTTTCTCAGTTAGCAGATGCTTCAAATATGCTCACCAATTCTGCCCAGAATTGCTATATTTATGATGCAATAGACCATGCATTCCAGAGCACAGGATCAGATGAAAGTGTTCTAGTACACGTTTCTGGCCGATGATCTACGGGAGCGGTGTCATCTGCGTCTCTGTAGTCCCAGCACAATACAGTGTCACCTTTAAATGGGACAAATAATTCCACACACCTCCCTGTGCTGCTGTAGCTTGAGTTGTCCAGCTCCCCAGGCCTGCTGATTTAAAGCTGCCTCCCAGTCTCAGAATCAAAATACGGCCTGCAGTGTGGGCATAAACTCTGAGCAGCTGGGCACAGGAAGCCCAAAGGCACCATCTTTGCTCAGATAGAATTCTCCCTAAATTCAGCCCAAACACAGTCTCAAGCGCAGAGCCTAAAATGAACATGAGATAGATTACCAAGTTTCCCTCCTCTTCTTCAGCATCAAACTTCACATCTAATCCATTTGCTTTGTGTTTTTGAAGGACTAACAATAAATTAAATGGACACAAATAAGTATATTCCTTTCTAATACTTAAAAGATCTAATTTACTCAGTGGGGAAGAGTATATTCTCCCATCTGTTTTGAAGAAGTTAATTTTGTATGATTTCCTTTTGCCACATTACACTGTATCTATCTGTGGATAAATCTGGGACAGCAAATAAGGAAGCTTAGATCTTTTGACAGCTTAGAACAAAATCTCTATTCTAAGGTGGTCTTCAAACAAAAGGAAATTGTCAGGGATTGGAAAACAGGTTAAGGTCAAAGTGCTGCAGCAAAATCTCCAGTATCACAGCCATTATCATCAGCACCTACAGATGGCTGGTTGGGAGAAGTTTTGTTGCAATAACCTGTGTATGTTACACCCAGTCACCAGGGCAATAAAGCATTTTTTTTCCCAGTCTGTCTCAGGATATAAAAGTAGAATATTATCACCTTCCTCAAATCGCTCTTTTGAATTACAACTGCAGGTTTTAAGGTAATTTTAGCACTCTTTGGACTAAAGATAATATACAGGAACTTCAATCAACTCTGCATATTTGGTATCCTGCCTCTCTGATTACTGTTAAATTCATTTTATAGAAGTTATATCTCTCAGGAGCCTCAAAAGATATTAGCAGATCAATGGTAGTCAGTGGTGAGTTCCTTGTTCCCAACTCCTGTCAACTCATGCCTCAAGTTCCAACTTGTCATTAATAGTCTCTGCAAACTTTCATATATATACACATAGACCAGAGCTTCTGCTTAAACAAAAATAATGTGTCTGAGTTTGTAATTTGAGGACTGGGGCTTCACATTATTCCAGGACCTATGAGTTTGCAAAAGTCAAATGCAGTAAATGTTTCACATGAAAGTAAGGAATCAAAAAATGAACTGTTGGATCACATTTTTATAAGATCACTTTTTTACATATGCTTCTGAATATAATCTTGTTCCACAGTGAAGAGACTGAAACAAGCAGCAAATAAATGCTTACCCCATCCAATTCCATAATAATATAAGTGCTTGCTCTCTTCTGACCCAAATACTTTGATCACCATACTGTAGAGGTGAAATCCTTCCACCAGCATCCATGCAAAAGCACTCAGGAAGAAAAAATGAAGGAGAATGGCCAAGATCTTGCAAGGCACCTAGATTAACAACAAAAATTAATACTTCTTTGGGATGCAATCATATTGCTTTTGCAATTTTTTTTATCATTATTTCTTTTTACATTTACACTCTAGGCTAAGTCACTGGTTAGAAACATTTTTAAAGAGCAAAGCACTAGAGGACTTAATTTCTCGAAGGCATTTTGAGATAGCTTCAGAGTAACAAATTTTCTTCCCTTATTTCACAAAATAAAAATAAAAATTAAAAACGTCCATTGCTAGAGGTGCTGTGGAAAGCAAAATGGATTATTTGTATGTGCATAAGCAAAACTTTTCCTAACGTCTACAAGATATTTAAGAGTTCAAACCTGCAATTGCAATATCTTCTTGTCAAGTCTGTAGTGAACATAAAAGAATCGTGGGAGTACTGTGCTGTGCAGTGCTCCCTGTTCTGTAATGTTCTTCATAATGAAAATATGACACCACACAAATCATGCTGTATTCCCACTTCTGTCTGTCCAGGTTTAAATTTTGAAAAGTTTCTTATTTTCTTCCATTAGTAAAACTAGCAGAGATTTCAAAAAATTGCAGTAAGCTTTAATTGGCTCCCAAGTCCTAATTGCTGTGTGGTTTGCCTAGTTTGCCTGCATGTTTGAGTTCTCAGTTTCCCAGATTCCAAAACATGTATCTGCTCCATACAAAGCCATGTTTGGCAAGAACAATTGCAATTACGGCAAAGAACTGACATTTTTCTCCATAGAGACCTTACAGACATGATCTTTTGGAGGACTACGTGCTATCAAGTTTCTGGAAGCGGGAGCCAGTACAAAAGTTTATGCAATGGAAAAATACCACGCATAAAGCAAGCCTACCTGGTGTAAAGCAGACTATCTGCTCCAGTGTAAACTACTGCAGGTGTTGCAGTGAAATAAATGCCTCAAGAGAGGAATTCCATGGTGAAGGCAATGCATCGAGAAGTAAAAGCATCCTCCACAGTTCTGCTTATGCTCACCTCAGTGCTTATGGCTCACTGTGGACTAGAGGAAGTGTAGCTTGAGCTTAAGGCCCAACTTTTCCTTAACAGCTCTACCAATTAATCTTCAAAGAGACCTTACATTTTTCTCTAAGTCTCCTATCAGCCTACCTTGTGTCAACAGTAAAATATAATCCTTTCTTCTTCCCCACTCCTCACATATTTGCACAGCACAATTCTCCTTTTCCCACAAACTGCTTTAGGAGAACTCTCACTGTGAGCTGTTTCCCTTGTCATGCAGTAACAGAACAGATATGACTGCCAATGGGCTAACCACACAGCAATCTCCTTTGGCTTTCTTTCTCTTAAGATACATTTTAAAGGTGCTGAATGAGTAGCAGCTGTATCTGAGGTTTGCACCCTGCAGCATCCCTTCTATCGCACCTCCAGAATTTTGGAGGGGTTGCTTGCATAATGTCCATGGGAAGGGTTTTGTTGTTTTCATGGTTTCACGGCCTCACCTGGACGAGTCACAGTGAGGTTCCCAGGCTGCTGCAATCTGTGTGCTGAGGATTCATTACCACTAGAAACCAGTTTGCTTCCACAGCGTTCTTACATATCTTATCAGTTATTCCCTTTGCTGTGTCAGTTTAGCTGCTCTATGGTGGCATTTTATTCTTTTTGTGGATATTTTAGGACTTTTTGTACAAATGAAAGTTAAAATGTTAGAACTTGATAGCATAATGCAATGTAAAGGCTTCCAGTATGTTCTCACTTGCACTCAGCTGCTTCTGTGCTTGTACAGGGACATTCTAATGCAAATCCACTGTGATTAGATGTATTAAAAAACAATAACTTCGGTTTTAATTTTTGTGAGATCAGTAAGCGTTTAGTGTTTCAGAATGTTCTATGACATACAGCTAAACCAGATTTGCTTATTGTCCACAACTGTAAAAATCTTTCCAGTTAATTTTATCATAAGGCTGTGAAATCCATTTAAATTCCTTTTGATTTCCAGCAGAAGATTAGTCCACAACAGTATAATTGCAACATAAAGCTGACTTACAAGCTCCCCTTCTCAAATGGATGCCTTCAATTTTTCAAGTAGCCAAGCAATATGCATCACAAAACAGCAAAAAAAAATAAACAAAGTGCAGTAGCAGGAGTCTGGTCTGCATACAGTGCAGGATGATACTCATTCTGCATTTGTGCCTTACTTACTTTGATAACATCCTTAAATGACAGAATAATAAAAAGATCTTACTGGATGTATTACAAAGATCAAAGTTCTATTCACAGAAGTAGAGATTTGTTAATAGTAAGTTAAAAATTACTCCTACACTATAGAAGGAAAATTGCTGTAGTATAAATTGCAAACAATTAAATGTTACATCTGAAACTACTGGGGAAATACTGTATGCTATATCTGAAATCAAAACCTAAATATCAATAGGGGTGGAGACGGAAAAAAGATGATGAAGTCATACAAGAAAGTGATGCCAGCTCATGGCCTGTTTATACAATGCCATTCCTTATTGCACTGTATTTCCTCAAGCAAACTGGTACCACTTGTCCTCCGGAGCAGGGCACTTATAAACTGTTTAGCACTAAATATACCATCTTTGACAGATGCAGAAGATTAAGTTCACCTCCCCGTGTACATATTGCCTCTCTCTTTTTGTAAACTACCATTTAGCAGTCCGATTACAGCAGCAATTAAAGGTATTAAAATTGATGCCCAAGCTGGTGAGAATTGAGCATGCAGAAGGTAAAGATGCAAGACTAATAACAGGATGAATCACAACACCTCTGATCCCTAGAGGTTATAACCATAAAAATAAAAGTGCAGCAGATACGTGCTTGGTGCTTTTCAGCTTCGAGATCTTTATAGAACTGTGCCCTACAATTATTGTTGTTACAGTTATTGCTGAAATATCCAGGGATTCTGCGAAACGTTTGAAACCCTGGTGCATGAAAAAAGGGCTTGCTTTCTGTGAGCTGTGGTTTTCAAAAAGAAAACTTCACTTGTAATCTCCACTTGTAAACATGGTGGACATTTCAACCTCAGATATAATCAACTGTGGAAGAGATCACTGTCTGAGATGCATGCACGGATGGACAGATGGATCAGTGGATGGGTAGACAGGTAGACAGACAGATAGATCCTTTGCTGCTCTCCACTGTTCCATTTTCCATTTAAATCCTTCCTAATTTTCTCCCTTGCACAATATCTTACTCAGGACCTACCAATAAAAGAGTATGAACTTAGATTCACAAATTGTTTTTAGATCCTCAGGTAGTAATAGCCTATGTAACATCAGATATTGTTGTTATGTATAAACTTAAGGAATTCAATTTGAGATGAATATAAATGCAGACCTCATATTTATTTGCACTGGAAAAAAAAAAAAAAAAGACTAATATAAACTGTTGGAGCAATGGCTGACCACAGTAGCAACCCATTACAAGTTTTCCAATTACAGAAGTCAAAAATAGAGCACACCTGAGGTTTGTTTTAAAATCAGGCTTTGTTTCTGCCTTTTTCAGGTGGCACATTACATTAACAGATCTTATGTTTAGAAATAGTAATACTACCCTACCTAAAATTCATACAAAAATTTCCAATACAGAATTCATACAGTTTTCAGTGGATGAAGTGGATGAGATACGCATAAACCTTGTCAGGCAAAAGTCAGTTGATTCATTTGAACATGCAGCTCCAACTTCCTCATTACTGTCATGACTTTACCATTTGTTGGGCTCATGTTCCCTTCTGTTCTGCAAAGAGTCAAACATGGACAGATACTATGATAATGCTATTTGAATTCACAGAAGGCTTTATCCAGTGTTGTGGGATGGCATTTTTTACTTGGCATGTTAAAAATGGCAGGTCTCACATCCAATAGACATTGTATGTGGCATTCATACCACGCAGAAGCCTTGCAAAAATGTCATTGCTCTGTCTCACTTACTGTTCCAGGGCTGAACTGAAAACTGATGACAAGCAGGATCTGAGCTACCAGGACAGCAAAGGACAGGTTGGCATGGATATGATAGCGTTGGTTGCGGATGGTGCTCACAGACCTGGCAGAAGACAGAAAGGTATGTGAACAAAACAGTATTCTGAGATGCATGAACATATTTATGACTCATCAGAAATACTTCTGTTTGGCTTTTGGCTAATTGTTCTGGTGGAGTGCCTGTTGAGCACTTCTTCCACCAGGTCTGGGCTCCTGTATATTCTGTCACCATCCCAAAAGCAGTAGAAGTCTGATTTGCACGTTAACTAGCTCTGCTAATGAGCTCTGACTGACTGTTAACAAAGAGCTTGATTCTAAATGGTGCTAAGCTGTCGAGGAAATCAGATCTGTGCCTCACAGAAAGCATTCAGCAGTTTATAACACATAGCCCACATTCTGGCACTAAGTTTCTGTTTGTATTTTGTTTATATTTGCCTGTATTAGAAATAAGTAATTCAGAAACCTCCACGTGCACTTCTGGGTTTACCAGTATCAGCTTTTTAGCACAGGAACTATGGCTTCATACACATATGGATGATGCCTATCTTGACAGTGCACTGAACATGATTACATTATTTGAACCTCTCTCTCTTGTCTTTGCAAAAACTGGCTGGAAATTTGACAAGAACATGCTTTCCTGAGAGTATTCTGACCTTTTGCTTCTGTAATCATCCAAAAACAGGAAGTAGGAAACAAACAAAAACATTTATCCAAACATTTCAGGCCTTTTGCATAAAGAAAAGAACATAGTAGAGAGAGGCTTTCTTGTTCAGCGTACTGCCTGCCAGCCCCTCCACTATCAGAAGACCTAGATCATTCGGCTGCATGAATGGCACAACTTCCTTTGCACAACAGTATGAGCTTCCATCTTTTATTATGCTGCATTGTGATGACTTTTGTAACAGCTGGTGCACATTATGCATGCCCCCTTCAGCAGGGTGGCATAGGCTCAGCAATGCAGATGATGTCTTGCTATTAGCCCTGTACTTTCAGCACAGTTTCAGCCACTGCTCTGTTAGAAAGAAGCGAAGAAGGAGGCAAAAGGAAATATTGATGCCCAAAATTAATTCTGAAAGACAGGTTGTCCTGCTTGGTACCAGTGGCTTTCTAATAAGGAACTTCATGCAGTCACACAGTGGAACATCATTCCCCAGAAGGCAGTCAGGACTGCCCTCCTGGGAAGCAGCCTTCCTTGCCAGTACACAGAGTAGCAAAGAACTTGCCAGATTCCTCTCCACTTACCTCATGATCATCTAACACTACATTGCAAAATTTCACTTCAGCTGTCTAATGAGGCCCTGCTCTCCAGTGAAAACCTAATCAAATTATTTTTAATTGGTAGTTTGAATGATTCTGTATGTAGGTGGGGTGCTTAACAGTGTGATATTCAGCCGGATCCAAGCTCTCTTTCCAAGTATGATCAAGGAGTTTTCAGCCCAGCTGCAGCAGTACCAGCTCTTTTTGCTCATTTTCCTCTCTAAACACTAATATCCAGTTCTACACTCAGACAAAGAATGGAGCAGATCGTTCCCCTTTGCCTAGCTATGCTAATAGCACAGTGCCAATTAGGCAGACATTGGACTTGCTTAGGGTGGATTTTGCCGCACATTACACACTTACTCCAAGTATGACCAACACATATCTTGAGACTTGGAAGTAATATGGCTATTGGAACAAACAAACATTGCAATCAGTTTACTTTGTTTAGCAAAACCTTTTTCCTAGAAACTGGCCTCTCAGCATGGTTTGGTGCATAACAAGCAAGGAGACGAGAATCACATTCCTTGATATGATCCCAATCTGCTGCACAACCTTGGATGCGTTGCTTCACCCCTTGTTAGGTTTTCTTTTATTTGTTTAGACAGAAAATTCTATGAAAGCTTTTTTCCAGAAATGTTTGTATCGAGCCTAGCTGAGCCTCAAACTCAGTAGTCACTACTAGAACATAAATAGGCAAAAAAGGCCCTAAAGCACCCATGGCAAAAACCTTTACTGTGCATAACGCCCTCAAAGGGGCTGCTGTATTACAGGTGTGAGGGTGCAGAAATTCAGGGATTTAAACATGAGCCACAGAGTGAATTTCACACTTCATTCTCCTTAGCAACACATTAGAAAGCCAGCCTAACAGAGAACAAAGGTTCTCAAAATTAAATGTAGGTCATGTGGTGTAATTGTACACAGTATTTAGAAGGCAGCTGATGTTGACTGGGCCTTCCTTTCTAGACATACCTAGGCAGCTTATAAATACACTGCTTTACAGGCAAGATGGAAAGCAGAAAGTACTGCTTCTTTCACCCCAAGCAATCCAAAGATTGTTCTGCTGGGGAGATCCTGTGGTCATTGCTGATCCTGTACTTGCCTTGAGCTTCTGACAAGCATTCCTACAGCCTCCTTGCAAGATTCCTGAACACGGCAAAACATGGAGGGCTTTTAAAAAATCTAAAAATCTCTCATAGCATGAAAATAGCTTGCTATATAGGGACCACCCCATTTTAGGAAATTAATTTAGAAATAACCAGCCAGTACAAATTCACGTACAGAATCTAATTAAGGGTGTTTGAAAAATTAGTAGCCTTTGTTTTGTTCTGGGCACCTGAAGGGATCCAAACCAGTGACCCGAAAGGCACTGTTTGGCTTTCTGTACCACAGCAGCTCAGCACATATTCAGTTAAAATCACTCACGACAATACAGCAAATGTGACCAGCGTGATCGTCAAGCAGAAGATGGACAGAGCACAGCCAATGTAAGTGATGGAGGAGAGGGCCACCTGGTGTTCTCTTGTTAGCTGTACACAAACAAAAGAAAAAGAAAACCTTTTAGTTGATTTATTATACCACCAAACCACAGCCCCCCTGCACGTAGCATTTCCTCTTCCGTATACAAGCTGATGTTCATGATTGTTCACTGCTCTTTCTAACATGCAAAATGAAGAGCTGTCTCTGAATTGTAGTCACACGGCCAGGGAATCCACATGCCCATGGCATTTTGGTTCCTCATTGTCCTTCATAAATCAGTATTTCCTCAAAATAAGTTTGCTTCTTCATGGCAGTGATAGAATCAAGAGATTGCTGCAGCTTATTGGGCTGCACAAACAATATTTAGCAATGGGATATTTCACAGCTTGCAGGGCACTCTGCAAATGCTCTCATGCTGCAATAATTTACATCACTGTGCAAATACCAGAAGTGCTTCACAGTGGTGAGAACTGACAAACCAAGATAACCCATAAATCATGGGCCATTTATAGCCCACTTGTTTTGTTTAATGTATCATGTTTTCAGTGCCTGTTGAAGGAGCTGGACTAACATCCACAGCATGGAAAACCAGAGAAAAGACCCAGTAAGAGCAGCCAGCATGTAAACCTTTAGCTTCAGCCTCTGTTTTTACCTACAGGCACCTTTTGTAAAAGTAATTCAATTTTCAGACATTTAATCTGTGACTCCTTAGTACACAGCTCTACAGTTCTTGTTGAAACCCGGACAGATTCAAAGGAGGAGCGACATTTTGTTTTCACCCTCCATCCTAAATTAATCAGCAAGTATGCCTTAATTTTCCATGCAAGCCCTCATAGAAGAGTGACAAAAAAAGCCACACCTAGCAAAGGGAGCCAGGCGGTGTTGATATATAATAAGTAGAACAGAACTAGGCAGGAAAATTCGTTCTCATCTCAGAAGAATTTTCAAACATTTCTCCTGACTTGAATTTGGATAGAGTTGACATTTTCATAAACTGAACACTTTGGGGGGAAAAAAAATAGTCAGTCAAAAAGTTTTCATTTTGATGTTTGAAATACTGTGTTCTTATTTCACTGTAAGTGAAACTCCTAGCTGAAAACTCATTCAAAATATTTATTCATTCTGAAAAACACTGAAAGGAATGATATTTTTTCCAAATTTTTTAAACAGAATATCTGATGAATAAAACTGATCCAACTCAGTTTGGAATTTTCCATTATTTCCACACACACACATTATGTTCCCCCACATAAAGTATTTCATCAAAGGAGAAAAAATAAATGCTATATGGCTGTGAGGACAAAAAAATCATTTTAGATAAAAGCAAAAATGATGTGCTGTATAGATACGTTTTTCCTGTAATGATCCACCAACAGCATCAGCTCACGTGCAGTTTCATGGCAGAACAGATTGTGGCTCTGGGCAATCTGAGGACTATTAAGTGATACAGCAACAGCACTGAAAGACAACTGTTGCTATGGTGTTACTGCTCCTAGGAAATATGCTCTTTAGTAGTTTTTTTCTCCATCAGCTAAAGACACATTTCTTGTCCCTGACTTGGACAGCATCAATTACAAAGACAAAAGAGCTCTGTGTGCTGGATGATCTGAAAACATCCACATAATTTCTGTGTAACAGAAGCCACATATAGCTCTTCTTCACAGACTGTTCCTGAAATAGGAATATCTGGCACAGTAAATTGGGTAGCTTGAAAATGATTTCCTCATCAGGGATATTCATGTCCAAAATGAATGGGCCTTACTGCCTGATTGCCATGATGCACATCCATTTCTCTTGCTATGGGTGCTTTGCAGTTCTCTAAAGAGAGAAGGGGAATAGAGGAAGCTTTCCTGGCTTCAAGTCACTCAGGAATCAGAATTTCTCAGCATTTTAAGGTTTTCTTTCACTCCTTTCTTTCCCAACAATGGCAGCCAGAAAATGCTTTCTCTGGGTTTTAGCCCTGTCTTTCTCCAGAAAACAGTGCAGGGCAAGACAAGGTGTGAATCAGACACTCCCAAGTGAAGCCTGTATGAGCTGGAAGCCACAAATAAATTTAAAAAAATCACTCCTCCATAAACTGTAAATAAGTTATTCGAATCTGAAACAACTTACATAGGTCCCTGCATCTGTGAACTGGAAATTACTCTTGCCTCTGGTAAACAAAATCTGACAATGCTCTAAGAATGATGTTCTAAAATCAACACCTATACCTGTCTGGTAACAACTACTGCGAAAGTAACGTCATTGAAGTTCGATTTCTCATCATGCATAGTATGAGGGACATAAAGCATAAAGTAGGTAGTTTGAAGAATTTTTTTGTTTGTGAAGGAAAAGGTAGAGCCCTGTAATAGCAGTTCTCAAGTCGAAGAGCCAGGTTGGAGCTGTGCAATGGTCCCTGCTCACATTGGCTGCAGGCACTGCAGCCAACACCTTTGGGTGGATGATATAAATTGTGAAGAAAGGATACAGCATGAAGAGGCCTGGAATGATTTCCAGGGTGAGCAGCCTCATTTCTGCAGACAGTGTGGGAGAGAAGAGAGTCTTTGTTTAAAATATCAGGTCTCTACTAACTTCTCACAACCCAGCTATTACAGCACAGCTAGACAGTGTGTGTTTATGTTCATTGTAAGGGATAATAAGCATGCAGTTTTTTAGAAATACCTGTACTGTCAAAGCACTGTGTATCATCAGTTGAGAAACAATTTCCTCTAAGTCCCCATGCTCGGATGTGAGCTAATTTCATCCCACCTCAGCTTGTCTTTCTGCAGTTTTTCGGACTTAATGCATGGCATGGAATACAAAACACTAATTTGGCATGATCGTATAGTCAGCACAAAAATGCTAATCAGGCTGTAATGCTATTACTAAAGGAAATAGCATTAAAAAGTAGCCAATAAAACATTGAGCAATCTGTGAAGTAGTCCCATGAGCATGATTCTCACACTTGTCTCAATCTACATCAAATTATTCTTTGCTTTTCAAAGAATTTGCTTCTTTGAGTGCATAAGGTCATCTTCTGAAGTCTGCAGCAAGCTGAAGCACTAGGAAGCAAGTTCATGCAGTCATGAGTGTTAGTAATCACGAACACTGTTAAAAAAAACCAGATGTTTCTCAGTTGCAGCTTTGAGAAACTGTTACATCAGAAATTCATACTCCACATAATCCCCCCACACCCTTTTTAGCTTAGCCTGTGATAGCCTTTACCTTGCACGTGTCACTAATAGTGTGAAGAGAGATCTGGCAGTTTCAGCACTTACACACATCTGAAACATTATAGACTATTGCCTTACCCCACTCCTACCTTGTAAAAGAAGTTAGTACATTGCTTGACAATTTTATTTTGGAAACTCACAGGCAACCGGATGGCCTGAGAAACAATCCTGGAAAGACTACAGTTCAGAATCCAAATATATATTTTTCTTTTATGATGTTGTTAATAACGAGAGAACGAGTGACACCTAACTCCTCAGTTTAAAAATAACTGCACAGGAAGATGAAAATATATTATTATAATGGGATGGTACTTTTCATCTCCAGAGTGCTTGGAAAAGGTCAGTTGAGGCTGAAAGACTTGTTCAGTAGGTTATACAGTGAAAATTGTTTTGTCTGTATATAGATCAGAGAACCTATTTCTTCATGTAATATTAACAAGTAACCACATACACCACGAGGCAAAACAATCTGTCAAAAAGCTGAATGTGCTATAGAGAAACAAATTATCAACAGATCAGATCAGAGCATCTGTCAGGGCTCTCTCTGCTCAGCATCTCCTTCCAAGTGTTTCTTTGTTTCCTGTGAAATCTGTACTCCTATTCCTGTTTTTCATTCTTCATCTGTCAGTCAGTTGATCCCCATTTCTCCTTTGCAGAAGGTGCACCAGAAGGTGCACTTTTAGCTTTGTCTAGAGAAAGGATATTTTTGGGAAGTACTGATCTATGCTTCTGTTTTTTACATACTGCATAATACTCCTCCATGTCTGCCTTTAGAGGCAACACATCAGACACAGGGCCGAGTTCAGGAACCTAAGAGAAGGCTTGTTACAGATGAAAAGTTTTGTCTGTATACCAAATTATGATTTATGACTTCTCAGTTCAGCCACAAAAAGATGATTTTATGTTCTAATCTTCTGTTATGAAAAGCAATTCATCTTCCAAAAAACAGCAATTTTTGAAGCAAAAAAAAGTTTTACAGCCTTAAGAAATGAAGCCTGCATTCTAAGAACTATATCATACCTATGATTTGTACTTTAGAGTATCAATTACTGGGATAGCACAGAAGTGGTGCATTTATATAGCATAAACATTTTATAAAACCAACTTTATTTGTTTACTGGTAGAAATGCAAGGCATGAACGCTGTACTTTGCCATAAGTCGTAGCATAAGAGCAAATGATACTTTCCTGGTCTTCTTGGTCAGCTTTCCATGTCAAAGAAGCATTACTATCATGAAATAATGTGCAATAATGTACGGTTTTTGCACTGTTTACTAAACTGGCTGAGATCTGCCATGAGATATCAGCCACCAGCCTGGTCTGAAATCCACTCTGTAATCCTTTTGCAAAGGCTTGAAATGATTTCTGATGAGACGTTTCTTGGGGGTAGGGAAGGGAGGAGAGGTAGGGGTGAAAAATTAAGGTTCAGCCAACCCTCTTGAAGCTGCACCTTTAAAATGCAATCTGAATCCAATTAAGAAAAAGATGAATAATTAACTTTGGCAGCCTGAGTGTTTCAGAGACATTAAAACGCTGGCCTTGGCTGATGAAGCTAATGGTTTTAATTGCCTCCAGAAAGGCTGCTGAAATTCAATTTCAGTCCAGTGAGGCCTTTATTTATATATTAAATAATAATAACAATACAAATCACTATTTTCCTTCAGCTTGCCAAGCACTTTTCTATGTACATAACATTACGGTTTGTTTTCTTTCAAATTAACATCTGTGTTTGGCTCAGGAGGCTCAGGCACAACTCTGGTGGGGCCACACGTATGGGGGCTGCACAGTCATTACTCACATTGAGAAAGTCTCACTTGATTCAGGGTCTTCTCTCAAGCC